CAGGGGACAGCTCCAAGGCCAGGCCTAGCAGGCCTGACCACATCAGCCTGCCGTGTAGCACTCCCTGGAAGAAACAGGCCTGCCTTGACCTAGGATGTGTAAGAGTGTTCGTCCAAATGACATTCCAAACACACACACACACACACACACACACACTTTTTTTTTTCCTTTTCATCATCAGCAAATAAAGATTAGCCAGGGAGATTACAGAAAGCGTTTTCAGTCTGCAGCTGATCTTTATTCCGAAGGCTTTGTGATGATATTGATGATGATGATGGTCAAGAGGACAGTTTGATTTTTGTGTTTGGAGCTAGTTATAAAGAATCAATATTATATCAAGGGGTAACTTTCGTGATAAAGGACTTTAGCCACTCCGGCTATTCATCATAAGTCTGTAGCAAGCAGATAGGTCAAAAGAAATTATATTGCACTAAAGAGTGAGTCTTCTTATCTCTCCCATACCAGGGGAATAAGGGGCCAGCCGATCGATACAGTAGCTGCCTTATACTTCTTGCAATTATCAATAGCTGATTTCGCCTTTTGAGGCCTGCATCTATTAATGCAAGCTAATAATCATCACTTGAGCCTCCCCACAGGCAGGAGAGTCAAAGTTTTCAGCCCTGGCATTATTTATATAATCATATATGCTAAAGCACCGATTCCCAGCCATATGCAGCCCAGATTCAAAGTTTGGTGATCAGGGGAGAAGGACTTCCATAACATTTGTAGCCCCAGGCATGCAGATGACTAGTGTGTGTGTGTGTGTGTGTGTGTGTGTGTGTGTGTTACCTAAAGTGAAGCTGCATGGTACCCTGTAGTGAATATGCAGCAAGGCTCCACAGCACAGGGAGCAAGGCGGGTTTAAATACAAAGCACATGGCTCCCTCCCATTAAAAGTATCTGGGCACATTTATTTCAATGACTTTGAATGCAAAAAGCGATCAGAGCAGGGGCTGAGCTGAATCTAGTGTGGGCAGGGCTATGCATGGATTTAACTAGTTAACTTCAAGTGGAAGAGCAGAAGCTCAGATAAAGCATGCACCCCCCCAAAAAAAATCTCCTACAAGTATAATTTTTGACTATATGTTTTCTAATACCCCACACACACCCTGTAATAGAAAAGCAACATCTCTATAATTGGCACTTGACATGCTGTTTGCGTTGGGCTGTGGTACACCAAGCACAGATTTCCTGTTGATGGAAACATTTATCATTGTGATTGCCCCAGAGTGGCAGGTGGTGTTATCAATTACCTCTTCTTACCAATAATAATATTAGTATGGTAATATCTTTGCTCTAGTGAGAACCAATTAGCGGTCACTTGTCACAGCATTAAAGACGCAAAATCATGCTGAATTTAACCCAAAGGACCTAAAACAAAAGTTAGGGGGTGGGGAAGGAACCAAGGGAAAGGGAAGAGATGTCAAGAGAATAGGAAAAACAGAAAACAAAAGCCCCTAATATCCGAATATCTATTTGTGTGAACGAGCGGGAGAAATAACCATATTGTAAAGAAAATGTCAAGACGAGCTATGTAACACTGTCTTCTGTGGATCCAGAGCCAGGTATCTTCAGTAAACCGTGACTGTGAAGTCAGAACCAACTAGTCAACTCCTCTTGTCAAGTCAATCTTGCAGACAGGCTTTCTGTTTTATCTGAAGAAATGATACAAATTAATTCAAACACCTAATTATATGTTCCATTAATGTAAAATATACAGTATTAATTTGTAAATAATATCATTAAGCAGACAAAATAATAACGTGTCACCTCTTAAGACGAAAACAGCGTTGCAGGGGGAGAGACAATTAACAAATTAGATTTAATTACAGGGAGGAAAAGCAACTTTTGTTTTTGCAATAGTACTTAGGTATTGCAATATTTTAATAGATAGTGGTCATGCGGTAAGCGTGCCTGTTCAGTGTGCCTAACTATACTGGAGCATGTACCTCTTCTGTGTGCTAACCTGGGCACAGTCAGAGAGCCTGCTCCCTGCTTCATCTGTGGAAATATCCCACACCACACTGTCACTTTGCAATAGACTGTTTTGATTAAGGCTTCAGATGCAAACTCTTTCATCGAAATTTGCCACACTGCATAAGAACGACGAAAGCTGTAACCCAGAAGCATAGGAAAGGGAGGGAGGGAGAGGAGAGGTGTGCAGGAAGTAACAAGCTTAGGTTTTTTCCAATTTTCCTTTTTAAAATAATCCCCTCTCCTTGTCTCGGCCTTTGGGATCCACTGGAGTGTGGCCCTTCTGCAGTGGAGGGTATCTGCTTAAGCTTCCGTCACACACACACACACACACACACACACACACACTGCTTCCTTGTTCTTTCCTCCCCATCGTTGACATCTCAACGAAATTCGCGAATTCCCTCAAGGGAGTTAGGTAGCCTGCAACCTCAGCCACAAAGGTCAGCCAGGCATCACCATGACCCTGCCATGGCAGACCACCCCAGCCTGGCCCCATGTGGAAACCGGCATCCTTCCAGGATCAGCAATGTCCACTTCTATCTGAGCCCCACCTACTTCACCTTTCTACTTAACACCTACCAATCGAGCCACACCTCTGGAATCCGAGGGCTAGCTCCTTTTACGAGGACCAGAGCAGGATTCGCCTTCATTGGAGGGACTAGAAAGATCCTCCCAGAATCACACCTCATAGAAAATGCAAAGCAAGTCTTCCAATTAAACAGTTACATTGGGAAGAAAGACCTGGGGCGAGCATGCCGGCTTGCTACAGATCAGGAGGGGTTGGCGAGAAGACGATGGAAGAGGGCCTCAAGCAGCAAGGAAAGGGTTGAGACCGGCTTAACGTGACCTAAATGAAGAGTCGATAGGGATCAAGTGGTTGTGGGATCCAGTGGGTTCCATCTTCCCCCGAAAGACTTCAGGCTGTGGGAACCTGCTTTTGGTTCTCCCTTAAAGTGTGCCAGAAAAGTAGGGAAGGAAGGGAAAGAGGAAAGAAAAGAGGGAGGGAGGGAAGGAGGGAAAAGGAAACCATAAAAGACGGTGCACCTTTAGCCAGCGGCTGGACACAGATGACCTGTGACAATCTTCCCGCCAAGTCGCTGCAACTTCTCTCAAACTCTTATTGGTCCTATATTTTGCAAAATTTTTCATTTCACACGTACCTGCCCCCAACACAACACTTCCATTTTTTTCTCTCCTCGCCCGTAATGCATTGCTTTCTCTGTTATTTTTTCTATAGTAAAGGTCCTGCCCCGGTCGCCCCAAAGTCCTAGATGTAAACTTTTTGTCGCCAAACACCTCTGAACCAGACACGTGTCCCCCCATACTCTGTAAGCATTCAGAACTTCACCGCATGATTACAGCGACAGTGAGACATTTCATCCCTATAACTTAACCTAACCGTAAACGTGCCATCCTTGTGCTTAAGTGTATGTGTGTGCTACAACAAAACTCACGGTTTCGAACATCTTTTATTTGCTTTTAATTTTTTTCTCTTAAATAAATATTCCCTCCACCAAAAGAAAAAACAAACCAACCTTAAGGATTTTTTTCCCCTGTAAGTGGCTCTTGGGGCTGTTTGGAAGCGGCTCCAACCTATGCGCGTCCTTCCTCCGCACAGTTCTCTTGCGCTCTTCCCGGAGCCAAAAACTGTTGCTTCGTGGAACTTAGACTAGATGCGGGCGTGAGAATGCAGTGTGGGAACCAAAGCCTAGAGCCGAAAGACAGCTTTCCAAGAGCCTGGTGAATTAGACAGTTTGGGGTCCTGTGGAGGGGGCAGAGGATTCCGTCAGTAGGCAGTTCGGTTCCCTCAGCCCTGCGGGAAGCTCGCAAGTCGCTGGGCATTGAGGCTGAAGGGTTGCTGTCTTACTTTCCCACCCTCCACCCACAAAACAAACCAGGGTAAACTCCGGGAGGCCATCTGAGCCAAGCTTCGCACACTTGGCTACTTGCACAGGCAAAAAGTATGAAATTTAGGAAGAAGGAAAAAAAAATAACACACATGCTGGGGAGAAGGGCATTGGAGCGGCTGCGGCGAGGCCTGGGGCACATCCTGGTGGCGGCTCCGGGATGGAGGACGCACGCGGGCGCGTGCGCTCAGTGTTGCAGGAGAGCGCGCGAGTGTGCCCGCGGGAGCGAGGCCGCGTTCGCGTGACCGCGGGAGTGGGGTCGGGAGGGGTGGACCGGTGCGGGGAGCGCGCCTCGCCAGCTGTCCAAGGGTGCCCGGCTGGCGTAGACATGCGTGACCCCCTCACCTGGCCCCCACGTTATCCCCGAAATCCCGATAACACGCAGCAGGCTCGCTGGACTTTCGTGGACTTGGAACTTTGAGTCGCATTCGTTGCCCACTCTGTAGGCCTGGACAGTAGGCGCTGGGGCCACGGAGCCGGCGGGAACGGGAAGGGGGGAGCGATACCTAGGCCCCGCTGTCCCCTCCCTCCCCTGGACTTAAGAATCCGTCCGCGGTGGGGAGGCCCTGGCAGGCGGGCGCGGAGCCGTGAAGCCCTGGTGGTGGCAGCGGGCGGGGCAGACGCTCGGGAGTCGGTGGGGACCGGGGGTGAGGGGGGGCGGGGGACAGCAGAGGGGAGGAGAACGCAGGGAGGGGAGGAGCCGCGAGGCCCGCGCCGCTTCCGAACCGGAAAGTTGCTCTTGCCGAAGTCCCGCCACCCTACGGTGCGCACTCCGCTCCGGCCGCGAGCCTCCGAGCCTGGCGGGTCGCCGGAGGAGCCCGCGAAGTGGACAGGAGCCGGAAGAGAAAGTCCAGAGACAGGGGCACCTGAGCCGGAGCGGGCTGGGCTTCCCGAGCGGCGCGGCGAGTCGCTTCTCGAGGACCAGAAGCGGTCGGCCGGCCCGGAGCGCAGGCTGTGCGGCGCCGGGGCGACCCGGGCGAGACAAAGGCGTCGGGCCGGAGCCCTGCCCGCGGCCGCTCGCTCCGGGAGGGGCGGCCCGGCGGCGGCGGAGGGGGGGGTGCGCGGCGCGGGCGGCGGCGCAGACACTCTATAAAGGGGCGAGCCCGGCGCGCCGGCGGAGACGGCGCCGCGCGGACGCCACCAAAGTTTGCAGCCTGCGCGGCGCGGAGGGGTCACCGCCACGGCCCGCACCGTACCCCGGCCCGCCGGAGCCGCACCTGGGCGACGGACGAACGCAACGCCTGAGCTCGGGCGGGCGGCGGAGCCCGCGATGTGAGCTGCGTGGGGCGGCGCGCACCCCGGTCCGCAGGCGCCGCGGCCCCTCCTCGCCTGCGCGGCCGCTAATTGCGAGAGCGGCCTCATTTGCATAGGCCGCCGGAGTCCGCTGGAGGCCGGCCAATCGGCGCGGCCCTCCGCTAATGGCCATGCATTATTCACCAGCCTAATTGCTCAGCCCCATGCGCGGCCCGCGCAGCCGCCGCCACCGCCCCGCGCCCCGCGCCCCTCGCCCGCCCGGCCGCCCCGTGCCCACCCCGCGCTGTCCCCGCCGGCCACCCCGCTGATGCCGCTGCCCCGCACGGGGCCGGAGCGCCGCTAGCAGCATGTCTCGGCGCAAGCAGGCCAAGCCCCAGCATCTCAAGTCGGACGAGGAGCTACCGCCGCAGGACGGGGCTTCGGAGCACGGTGAGGGCCGGGGACCTCAGGGTGGCCCGGAGTTCTGGGGTGCCCACCCAGGTTGGGAAGCGCGGGCGGTGGGAGCGACTGCGCGCGTCTCAGAGTAAGAGAAAGTTCCTCTGTTCCCTGGAGCGAGTGCTAGCTCTGAGTCCGGCCCCTCGGCCAGGCTGGCCAACCCGGACTGCTTACTCCCTCGATGCGCGCGGGAGCGGAAAAGAGTTGCGGGCCAAGTAAACTTGGCTCCGCTGCTCAGACTTGGGGAGCTGCGCGCGGAGGGCGCTGGCGGCTGGGCTGGCTCCGGACGGATCCGAGTCGGTTGGGCCGGAGGCAGAGGCCGGCTAGAGGCGAGCGGGCGGGAGGGGGTCTGCGCTGCCGCTTCCGTGCGGCTCTGGCTCTCTGAGTCCACATGCTGCTTTGGTGGGCCCGGAGCGTCCAGAACGCGCGGGGACCCTAGTCTAGCTCAGAACTGATCCCAGGGAGGGTGCAGCAGCGGGGAACGCGTCCGGGGCTCACCTACCGCTGGACGCGGGCCCTGGAAGCAGCCGCCTGGCCAGCTTTGTTCGGCGCCGCGCGCCTTGGTGCTCAGCCGGTGCTCGCCTGGAGCCTACCCGGGGCCCCAACGCCACCTCGGTGATCCCAGTCTCTGTTGCTTGTCTCTGATACCGCCAGCAGGCGCCTCGGGTGACCCCCAGGCCGCGAGTCCTGCGGTGTCCCAGAGCGTTGACAAATCCAATCATCCCTTTCGGAAGCAAGTGGGGAAGTAAATGTCTCTTGGCCTTTCGTTAATGGCCGACTAGGGAATTGTGGGGCGCGAGCACAGCTGTTTCTTTTGGGGGCTAGTGCGTGTATGCGGTAGGACCTCAGCACGTTTCTGGAGGATTCCAAGTTTTCCCTTCGGCCTTTTCATACTCTTTTGGACGTACGGAAATCGGGCTCTGGAGGCACCTTCGCAGTTACTTCGATGGTAGGAACTTCCTCCTAGAACCATTCAAAAATGCAGGACCGGAGAAGTACAGACACTGGAGAAGATGCGAATTTAGTATAGTTGAACTTTGGCACCCTAAAGTTTATGGCACCCTGAATCCGTGAGCCCTGGGCGCCAGTTTTGGCCCGCCTTGCCAGGATCCTCAGGGCACCAGCAAGGAAGCCGAGGAGGGGCGACCACGTATGACATAGAGCTCCCCCAGCTAGTTGAGGTGGAATAATTTATTCCTTAAAAGCCAACTTTTTATGACCAACCTATTGTAAATTGTTTAGAGGCAGATACTAAATAATCTTTTAACTATGAAAACAATACCATCTTTTAAAAAAAAACCCTCAAAACCCTAATAGACGGAATTTAAGTTTTTAACACACATCGGTAAAGTTTGACAAAGCGTGCACGTCGTAGTAGAAAGTGAGAAAATGTCCATAGCAGCCCTGGAATGAATTAAATCAAATGGGACTCGTTGGGTCTTTTTGTTGCCGTGAGGTGAGGGACCCGCATCTCTGCAGCCAAGTCAGCCAAGATTAGAACGGGCGATATGCTAAAAAGAAACGCTTGCATATGTTGGGTAGATTAGGGACAAAGAATCTTTTTGTCATGGAAATGGATTTTTTTGTTTTGTTTACTTCTTCACATAGAATTTCTCACACTTGGGTTGTTTTGTATTGCCCTCAATGACTACATGATCAAATGAATGGATTTATTTCTGCCGAATGAGAAAGACAGTCTTTCCCTCAAAAGAACTACACTGCATCCCAGTGAGGGATTTTAAAGCTTCATTATTGCGGCTCCTGAATAGCTCAAAATCCGCTTTCACAGCCGCTCTAAAATGCAACAGTGTAAATACTTCTCCGCTTTGTAGGGTCGTTATCAAAATGTGCAATGTCTCCTTTTATTAAAGCATATTTTAATTAATAGAGTAAAACCTCGGGTATTTAACAATTAACAAGCCGAGGCACCGTTGTTCATTTTTAATTTCGCTTCAGAAATGTGAGTGTGGTAAAGTTAATCGTGTAAACATGTCGGAGGATATATAACCCCGACCGTGTTGAAAACCCCAGATAGTCAATTATTTACGAGTTCTCTTTTGAATTTTGCTGGCTGCTCGAATTTATTTCGAGACTCTTCCATATCCAGGTTTTCTCTCCTTTCAGTAGCGGCGTTTCTATCCAGGCTGTGTTTTCTGCAGTCATTCAGACTTCTAAGCCCGAGGTTGCCACAGTTCCTCAGCATATTTTGCAACAGGCCAAAAATAGCCTGTCTGAGGCTGAGCCCTAGTAAAGCTGCATGTGCTATTCGGGTTTGAAGGATAGTTCAGGAAAACTGTTAAAATAAGTTCTTTCTGATGTAATTGTTCTGAAGCAGATTGTTCATGGAGCATAAAAGATATTCTGTTCCTTATGAAGTCAAGGAATGCTGGTGCTGTCTTAACTCTAACATAACCAAGAGAAGTAGGTTTAAAAAAAAAGATAAATGGTTGTGTAAACTAAATTACTCCATTGTCATTTCAAATTCTTAAATTGTTTTACATGCAGGGAGACAAACATATGCTCCGTGAAGTTTCAAGGGAGCCAAGTCTACAGTGTTTTAGAAATGAAGTAAATGGTTCCTTTGTATCAGTTTGGGTGTGACATGTTAATTAAAGCACCAGGTCCATCTCTGCAGAAGAATTGAAGGCTTTTGTTAATACCATACAGAACAGATACCTTATCTAAAAGAGACAGAGAGAGAGAGACAGAGACAGAGAGAGACATAGAGAGAGAGAATATAGAGGAGGCCAAAGATGCATAGTCATGTTGATTTCCAGTGGACACCGCATATTTTAAAGATTTATTTTTCAGGGTTTTGTTTTTAGACAAACAATAAGAAAAGGGCAGCAATAGCTTTGGTTCCCTGCATCTTTTAGACTGAAGGAATGATTGACAAATCTGCATGAAAGCAAGTAAAGCTGCCTTATGGAAAGTTCTGGAGTTACCCTGTGATACATTTTTATTTTAAGTTACTGAGACTCAAATCCCCAATAGAAACTGTCGTTTAAAATTGTTTATCCGTAAATATTTCCCATTTTAGAAATAGATGTGATTCAGCACCAAGATTCAGTTAGATCTGTGCCACCAATGATGTTATCCTCCGAGCCAGCTGAAGATTTTTGTTCTAAGAAAAACTAATTAAAACTTGCAGTGACAGTGCCACACTCAAGCCCTACCAAGAACTTTAAAGACATTGCAGCGTGCCGGCAAAAGAAAAAAGAAAGGGCAGTCCCTAAAGATGCATGTCTCTGTCCTGGGAAAGTCTGCGTTTAAGGAAGAACAAAAGAATGTTGTAATTTAAAACAGTTCTGAGGATGCATCTTTTTGTGGCCATTAATGACCTCATAGTGTTTTTATTTTCCACCAGCTTACAGTATATGACTATCTTGAAATTTCTTTCAAGTGCGGTAAGCTTCCACCTAAGAACCAACCAGTGGAATTCACAGACTGCTTAAGTTCAGGGAGAGAAAGCCACCGGGGCTCAGTGAGGAGAGCTTTTTTTCTTTTATCTGTATATGCAGGGTTCGCCTACCCCTCCCCCAGTAGTCGCATTTACAATTCAGCATACCAAAAGGGACAATACAGAAGCCACTTTCTTACCTCCACTGGCAGATTGTTTTCTCTCTCTGAAACACGAAAGGTAAAAAGTAAGTGGAGGGGGGAGGGGGAGGAAGAATTTGCAAACATTTCTTTTTAAAACAGCGCTCAAAAAAAAAAAAACTTAACCTGTTTAAAAATGCTCACTCTTAAAATGGGTACCAATTAATACCACCTCAAAGAGAGCTGAGTATGAGACAAGAGTTAGAGAATTTAAGTAGAGTGTATTCTAAACTTTTCAAAGCCTATGCATAATCCAGGTTTTTCAGATGTGTTCAGACCGAGCGAGAGGGAAAGGTACAGAGGGAGAAACAGCAGGAATTACTTAGCAAGCTGATTATTTCTTTGTATCTAGAATGATGGCTAAAACAGACAAAAAGTAGGTCAGATTTCATTTTCAGCCCTACTGTCCACCTCCTGGTGGCCTTAAGAGCATTTTCTTTGGGAATGGGGAATGCAGTAAACAGAGCCAAGATTTCTGCTCTGTGAACTGACCATCAGCTGGAATTTAGCATCCTCATGTGTAAGTCTTGGCACGAGGTCTTATGTAAGTAAGTTAAAAGTCTTTAAGCTGCTAATGAGATTTTTTTCACCATCTTTTAATACAGCAACCTAGTTTTTGAATGTCGTTTCAAGAAATAATATGAAAAAGAAGGGTTTCTCATTTCTCTCTTTCCCTTTACTGTCTTGATGACTTTTGTTTTCCTCCATGATTTCTTGACTGGTTGCCAGTATAAGAAAGGCCAGTGACTCTTAGACAATCTCATGAACATGTGAGGTAATTCTCCTGCTGGCCGAGCACCTCTGTAATCAGTGCCTGTGAAGTTGCTGCACTTTTCATACGCAGTCTGTGTGGGAAAATCGAATTTTAGTCATTGTTGTAAGCGATCTGTTTTTAAAATATTTTGGATTTTTTTCTCTTGTGATTTCAACAAGAAATTTTGTTATGATTTCATAATTTCAACAAGAAATTTTGTTATGATTTAAGGTGTGGTTAACTGTGTGACTGCCAGACAGACAAGGCAAATAATATTCCAGAAAGTGAAAAATACAGGTTTTTAACAAAGTAATGGGATGACCTTTATGCTCGAGACCAAGATTAATTTGTTTCTTAATTAAAGGAAAGGGGTTCTGGCCACCAAAGGGGACTGATGGTTCCCGAAGGGTCTCCCCTCTGATGGTGGACCTTTTCTCTCACCTCTAGCTGAGTGAGGGTGTACTCTAGGGTGCTCAGCCCCCTTTGCGTTCTTTACAGTATGTCATGGAACCTTTTTTTTTTTTTTTTAAGTGTGGTCCTAGGAAAGGTGGGTGGCAGAATGCTGGCCAGCTTGTGTCTCCTCTCCCTAAAGGTGAGTCGTTAGGAATGCTGTGACAAGCCTTGCTGATTTAACCTTTGC